CACAGTCAGCAATAAACTCAATTGGAAACAGAGAGCCACCCAAAACAGCTGAGATAAAGGAATGAGGAAAACTCTATCAGCTGCTGATAGAGAAAAAACAAAACAGTGGTCTTACAATGGATACCTGGTCACTGTGGCATTAAAGGTAATGAGCTTGATAACACACTTGCTAAGAAGGGGACAACGATTTTGCAAGACATAGACTGGCCTATATCCTTCCACACAATAAAGGCCTTAATCAGAAGAGAATTCCAGACCTCAAGGTGCAACGAACTTAAATCTCGAACAAAGGAGAAACAGTGGACAGTGGCACCCTCCGATATAGCCGACTGGCCAAGAATCGAAGCCGTTGCTGAGTTTAGACTACGTACCGGACACGATTGCTTGGCAAAACACCTTCACAGATTGGGCGTATACACTCAACCCACATGCCCCCTATGCAACCTACAGGAGGAAACGAAGAACACCCACCTGATTCGGTGTCCAGTCCTAAAGACAACGACGGAAACCCAGAGATACCGAGAAGCAAGAAGACAGCAAATGAACTGCTATTAATTAACTGTTATATATGTGCCCCCCACCCATGAGGAAAGCTGAAGTCAAGTTTAAGGGCTAATGATAAATATCATAAAAGCAAGTTTAAGGGCTAATGATAAATATCATAAAGCCTGCCATTTGAAATAAATAAATCTCGAAAATTAAAGGATAAATGACATCAAAATGCGACTAAAGTCGAAGGCCACTAAACTGACATTTTATCTCAAAAATATTCAATTTTCCCTAAAAGGGCTCAAAAAGAGCAAGATTAAGGGCAAAAAGTTGCACACTATGACATATTTTAAAAACATATATTATGTAACTGGAGGGGGGGGGGGGGGGGGGTGGGTTAAATCCATAATATCATAATAGTACCGCAATTAGTAACCTACTGGCAGGTCATTGCACACAGTCTCAAATTTCCTTATTTATTCCCATTATGTTAGGTCATTATTTACCTATTTTACTCATGACAATCAATATGGTCAATTTCATGTAATTTAATACTAATTGAGTTAAATCAAAAACTTGTTGTCTCCCAATTTTTCAAACGCCTACAAAAATAACATGACTACTTCAACTGTACCTAACCGATATATCATACCAGTCTTGATGGTGATACGAAAGCAACTTTGCAAGAAAGTGTGGCTGACTTATTTTATTGGGAGAGTTACAGACCTATAGAATGGTAATGGCATCGTTTTAAAAATAGTAACAATTATCTAAAAGTACAAACAACAGTTTCTCAGACAAATGGCCTCTACTTTCTCCCAGAAGTTGCCAATTTAAACCCATGTTTCTACATAGCGTTTTGGGCAAATATATAATGTGTTGATAAATAAACAGGGGTGTGCGATAGGCTTACCTCCACGTGGTGCACTCTAGGCAACGTATGCTCATATGGTAAAAAAAGTCCATACACCGGTAGTTGACTTGTGACTTCAAACTACCTTGACCCGACTGTATGTCATATTCTACCACTTCCACAGTACCCTCCCTACCAGGTGAATTTTGAACCTACTTCTACCACACATTACATCTCTCGCATGACAGTTAGCCCATAGACGATCCTGTCAATATTCCATAATCCACTATTTCAGCACAATTTTCAACTTTTGTTCCCCTATTCACAAATTCTTTTGGTAGTACTCACTTCCATCTCCCCCCCCCTTCAGGCACCATTGAGTTCGCGTTTCGAGTGTTGTTGCATTCTAATATCGGCTTAGCTTTTATTTGAAGGCTCAATTTCGGAGCAAAAACAAACTGTCTTGTGTATAAAAGCATTAAAAGGCCATTAGTTTTCGTAGAACGAAAAAAGGCAATCTTCAAATTCTCGACACACCCAGATTATTTAGTTGACAAGAGCCAGTTACGAAGACCCAATCTGTTTGCAAATCATGCAAAGAAAATTGCTCATTTAAAAATGGTGCATCCTTAGCCTACTTTCCATTTTATTTTTTGTGGTTTGCTTATCGAGTTTATCAAGTTATTTGCCTCTTGCACTTCATCCAATGAGGTACTCGATTCTTCGTTGGTACTTCACTAGTGGCCATCGAATTCAGCCACTAGCAGTTTAGAAATCTAAACGACTAACCTGAATGCTCAGATTCAGTCTATCTACTTCAGATGTCCAAGAATTGAAAGTGTCTTAAAGTAAAATAAGTACCTCACTCACAAATGGCCAGAAAAATATTGCCAACTTTTGCAACTAATGCCAAAATCCCCTATTATGACTTTTACGGCACCTTTTGATGAAGTAGGGATTGTAATCAAATTTATAAATTACTAATAAAACACGTGTTTCTATTGTTTTGTTTTGGAACTTCTTAGAAAAACTATTTTATGGTCACATTTTATGGGAATTATGTTCGCCCACTACCATGCCTTTGATCATCGGGATATACTGGTCGCTTTTCATATCATCTAAGCAAAAGAAGAGATGTCTATTAATTGCACGATAATTCCGACATTCTCCTTTCAGACTTTGCTTTATAGGCAGAATTGAATTACCCACGCATTGGCTCAATCCAATTTGTTGATTGCTGACCCCCCCCCCCCTAAAAAGCAACAATTTCTACAACTCCCAAGTCAGTTTTGAAGGCTTTCAAGGGGGGAGGGGCGCTTTCAACACGCACACAATGGATAGAGCCACCTCAGAGAATTAACTAGGTGAAAAACTCAAAGTCCGTTTTGTCAAAGCGGATATCGCGCCCAAAACATCTGACTGCGTAGAAAAGCCTTTCAACCACCATTCCACTAAGTTGGACAGTCTAACCAAACAAATTTTTGCGCTGAGGAGTGTGCGATAGCCTTACCTCCAAATGGGGCACCCTGGATAACGTATACTCATACGGCAAAGAAGTCTATCAATCGGTAGCTGACTTCCCACTTCATACTACCATGACCTGACTCCATGTCATATTCGATCATTTCACAGTACTCACCTCACCTTTTTTCTACCTTTGTGTCTGTCTCTTTTACATCTTTGAAACACTCTTCTGTTCCTCCCCCCCCCCTCCCGACTCTTTTTCACTTTGATGTTCCTTCCCCTCTGTGAAGCCTAAAGTCAACCAAAGGGCTAATGGTAACAATCAAAACGCCCGACATTTGATATAATTGAATAAATGTTTGCACTAAAAATTGGCCTAAAGTGCTTGCTTGTATTGGGTGGGCAACTAAGTCATTGCCGTTTTTGTTGACGGATTCACTCTATACTTTCTTTTGTTTTGTTAACGTGGCCAGAGCATCTAACCTATATTTTTTTTCTTACTGTATGGGCTTCTAGGTTAATTAGTAAAAAATTTTTTTTGTTTAGTTCTTTAGTTTTGTTTTTATCCCAATTTAAAAATGGAAGAACAGGACGTGCACTTCCGACACACTTTATTGTATTACTTCCGAAAAGGCAAGAACGCATCGCAAGCACAAAAGAAGTTATGTGCCGTATATGGAGATGAAGCCTTAAAAGAAAGGCAGTGTCGAAATTGGTTTGAAAGATTTCGTTCCAGTGATTTTTCACTGAAAAATTCACAACGATCTGGCCGCCCAGTCGAAGTGGATGAAACCCATATCAAGGCCATTATCGATTCAAATCGTCACAGCACAACACGAGATATTGCAGAGAAGCTCAATGTGTCGCATACATGCANGCTACTGAAACGCAATGAGAATGATCCATTTCTGAAGAACCTAGTTACTGGCGACGAAAAGTGGATAGTTTATAACAATGTTACTCGCAAGAGATCATGGGTGAAGCAAGATCAACCAGCCCAAACAGTATCAATAGCAGCAGAGATTCACCAAAAAAAGATTATGCTATCAGTCTGGTGAGATCACAAAGGAATTTTGTATTTTGAACTCATGCCGCAGAACCAAACGATAAATTCAAATGTGTATGTTGAAGAACTCGAAAAACTGAAGGATGCAATTGAAGATAAGCGGCCGGCATTATCAAATCGGAAGAGTGTTGTTTTCCATCATGATAACGCAAGGCCCCCCCCCACACATCTTTGGTTACTCGGCAAAAATTATTGGAACTGGGTTGGGATGTTTTGTCACACCCACCATATAGCCCTGACCTTGCGCCTTCGGATTACCATTTGTTTCGTTCCATGCAAAACTCTTTAAATGGTAAAATTTGTAACAACGCGGATGATGTCGGATCACACCTAATTCAGTTTTTTAATAGCAAAGACCAGACATTTTACGAACGGGGAATTTTTACTCTGCCAGAACGATGGAAAAAGGTCATCGACAAGAACAGCCAATATCTAATTGAATAAAGTTATATTTTTAAACAAAAATTCCGAATTTGCCTTCTTATTTGAAATCGGCAATGACTTAGTTGCCAGCCTAATACGTTTACTAATTTTAGCCTTGTCAACTAACATTTTTGCAAATGAAAAGATGAAAATTTGTGACATCACATGGACTTTAAGCTTGTTTAGATCCGGGTATGTTTTATCACAACAAGCCAAAATGAAACCGCTAAGTAAATGAAAGATTACGCAGGTGCTAACAACCCTAAACATTTTGATCCTGAAAACTGACATCTACTTCATTTGTGCTGGCAATATTTAAGTTCAGTTTAATAAATTTAATAATAACGGATCTAACTCTAGTCAAAGGGAAAACTTAAATAGAAATATTGGCTTCAAGAACACAATCGTCATGTTTACGCTTTGCTCTGTTAATTTTGTAATTATGCTATTTTAAATACCTTAAATTTTCATGAATGGAAGTAATCAAACTGATTTGATCAACAAGACATAGGAGCGCTTTCTAATTCAGCTAATTTAGTTTTTTTCCACTTTGGAAAGGGGTAGGCGTCAGCATCAATTAGCAACCACAAAGGATCTTCCTTTTTCACTTTCCAAAAGATCCCAAATTAATAGTGTCACCAATTAGACAGGTTTTAATTGGACGCAAAAGCAATTGACCAATATTTAATGATTTCAAAGTACCGACTATTCCGCACCATTCGTGCCACGTATGACGAACGCCTCGGCGTGTGAGCCATTTGCCCCATTTGTTCCACCTACATCCCTCACGCCCTCTTTACCAAGAGTCTTCATCAACGTTGGCTCTTCCGCCGACAGGGGAATACAAAGCTCTTCTCCAACTGCTCTATCTCAATAAAGTCACTTTTCTACTGTTTATGATATACACCATGTTAATGGGTTCGAGAAAATAGTAAGGAAAACATTGATTTCTCGCCAAGTGATCATCATCCACTAACGCGCAATTACGACCCACACTAAATCAAAGCAATACGAAATGCCACAGCTTTACACGTTAGGGAGAATGTATTGCCATCTCAGATTGCCATATATTTGCACATCCGTGTTATGCCTACTAAATAGCAAAGTCGACAATCAGAGGTAAGTGGTCAGAAGGGAATTGTGAATTCGGAAGTGTGAAGCCGCCTTCTTCCTCCGGTAGTAGAGGAGGGTGCTTGGGATTCACACTACGACCCTCATCAAGAACTTCCGATTCTGTAGGAACAGAGAAGGCGTGAGCTACTTTCAGAGTCTCTGCCCTATCACTCGTGAGTCCATATAGCACAGCGTCCAAGTTGGACTTGAATCCAGGAACTATATTGGTGAAAACACCCTCTGGAAGTGGAATCGCGGCCTTGAAAATGGGTCCAGGCTCTTGCTGGCTTCCATCTTCGTTCACTGGCCCGGCGACCAGAGTTTTGTAGGGCTGAGAATCCGGACTAGTGTTCAAATCAGCCGCAAGAATAATTGGCAAGGGCTTGCTGGAAAGGATAAATAAAACACGAGGTCAAATGATAGACGAGATTAGTAAACGATGTTACTGAAATTAAATAAGTACCAAGTCAGAAATTGGGACTCGAAGGAATTGACAAAAAACAGTACATCGCATACTAACTCAATGAGTTGCGGATGAATTCTTTTCGCAATCATAAAACTTGCATATTAAGATGCCCGATTCCAAAATAAATTTTAAGGTATAACGTGTGGCACACTGGGGAATAATGAATGCAATATTATCACGTGGGTGCAATCTCCCATCATTAAATAAGTTCGCTCGAAATCATCTCAACATCCAAATGGGAAATGGGAAATGGGCGAGGCTTGAAGAATAAGAAAGTAGTCTTTCCAAACTAGAGGGCATGAAATATCTCCAATTATCTTGATTGCAGAGAAGGAACAGACAAACCAACCGTTTTTTTCCTCTTTTCAGTTCTTTTAAAATAAACGAGATATGGAGAAGAGGAAAACGCACAAAAATGATATTTTAATTGAAATCTGACGGATGAATGAGTATTCGAAAAATACTTCCTTAAACTAACTAACCAACCAATTGCGGAACCCGTGGGCTCTTGCGATTTTGAGAGCAATTTCAATTAATACATTTTCATTTAGCACTTGAAAAATTGACAAGCTCGAACCTTCTAAAACACTCAAAAAATATGGCGATTTTCGAAGAGAGCAACTTTACATTTACAAGTAGGGGTGTGTGATAGACTCACCTCAACGTGGTGCACCCTGGGCAACGTGTACTCATACGGCAAAGCAAGTCTATAACCCGGCAGTTGACTTCTGACTCGAACAACCGTCACCCCATTGTATATCATATTCGACTGCTAACACAGTACCCACTTCACCTTTTTTCTACTTTTGTGTCTATCTGTTTTACATCGTTAAAACACTCTTCTTTCCCACCCACCCACCACCCCCCATTCGACTTTTTGTCACTTTGAGGTTCCTCCTCCTCCTCCTCCTCCTCTCTGCGAAGCCTGAAGTCAACTAAAGGGGTAATGATAACTATCAAAACCCCTGCCATTTGCTATAAATAAATGAACATTTAATAGTAAAGGAGTTTAAAACATTTCCAGAGAGGGAGAGGGAATGCGAAAATAAATCCCAATATTAGCATAAAGATACGGTGTCACTGAGGTGGTTACTCTTTGAGTCACGTTACAGCCTCAACTGCTCAAACCTAAAGCCAATGTGGCATTTAGATCAAATGGCAATTGTACGTCTTCCTGCAAAAGAAAGTATGCACTTCTTATTTTTTTGCTTGAGATTTCAAATGATTAACTATTATTATTATCTCCAAATCAGCTGATTCACATGGTTAAAAAGGGGAATACAAATGTCTGTGTCATGTGCGCGCACACACAAAATTTACTCCCCAAAATCGAAAAAAGCGATTACTTTCGTGCACTTTTGATTAAAACGTCAGAATCTCTCTGCAAGTGCAACTCCTACACTAGGCTGACTTTAAGAAGTCCAAATACCCGCCTTGTGGCAAATTAGATGTAAAATAAAATGCGAAGAATTTAGGGGGACTGTTATTTTAAGACCCTTGTCTTCACGACAACTAGAAGGCAATCATTCCAGTTGCAATACGATTCGAAAAATAGCAGGATATTAAAGCTATGGCTGTTACAGGAAAAACCATCATTTGCATTCGTTTTTCATTAAATGCAACCAATCGTCCAGAAAGAGCCTTCAAAATGCATACTGAGAAGGTGTGGAGACTTAGCAATCACTCCGATCAACAATTTTACGAATGGGGTGTGCGATAGACTTACTTCCACATGGTGCACCCTGGGCAACGTATACTCATACGGCAAATACCAGCAGATGACTTCTCACTTCAAACTACCATCACCACACTGTATGTCTTCCCACCTCATCTTTTTCTACCTTTGTGCCTGTCTCTTTTACATCTTTTAAACTCTCTTCTGCCCCCCCCCCTCTTGAAATTTTTTCACTTTGATGTTCCTTCCCTCTGTGAAGCCTGAAGTCAACTAAAGGGCTAATGATGACCATCAAAACGCCTGCCATTTGATATAATAATAATAATAATGCAATTTTATGAATAAGGAATTAAAGACCTACCCATCAGCATTATCCACAGCCAACTTAAGAAGGCACTTTCGCAGAATGAGGCATTGGATATTCCTGAGACTCGTTGCGCTAGGGTGGAAGTAGAGATGAGCATTGGCACAAAGGAAACGACATCCAGTTCGAGAACACTCAAAGAGGCACACAAGAGCGCCATGTGCCCGAGCCCGCATGCATAGATACATTGCAACCTCTTTCGACTCAGCCAATTGGTGGTATTGGGCAGCAAGTTGCTTGAAGTAAGGATCTTCAGATGCCTCAGCATACATGATTAGGGAGTCCAATTTAAACTCCCTGATCAGGCGGAAACGATCGGACTTGTAGAAGATTGCCACACCTTCGTTCTATAGGTAAATGCAATTATTTTAATTAATAATCCAATTGTATCCTAGCGGATAATAGTGGTGTATTAATAAAAGTTGCAGTAAAGAGTCATTTCTGGGAGGTTGGCATAAAAAAGGCTTTCAAGACCATTGGAAGAAGTAGTCACAACGCTTGACCTGGGTGGAAAGAGGATATTCTTGAGATCCTCTTTCGAGAAACTCACTTACTACTACCTCTCCTATTGACTGGAGTTAAGCGGGGAGATTGGTCACCCACGCACACTAGATAAGCATCTCTGAGTTGGCAGACATGCACGCTGACCACAATGCCACTAAGGAGCACATGCTCGTATCACCACTTAACTAAGTTTATATCCGGCTTATCGGGTAGTCAATCCATCTCAACCCCTCTATTTATACGGCCAAACGTCTGTACTTTATTACTTCGGTGAAGTGGAAGAGTTGTTTAGGCTACAAGTTTCCTTTCTGTGTCTAAAAGATTTCAGTACTATTGATGCGCTTTATTGAGCAGCCTCGTTCATGTAAATGGCACTTAGGAGTAAGTTGCAGTAAAGCGGTGGCCTTTTCATTTCGTGAAATTTAAGCCCCGATAGAAAAAAAACTCGTTGCATGTTAGCAATAATAGTACTAAACAAAATAGTAGTAATTTAATTAGGAAAAAAAGTATACCCCAAACATAAGCACAGGTGGAACACCTCACATGATTCATTTGTTTATGATCTAACACAGCTGATTCTCAAGTTGTTCAATACTTCCGCATTCAATGGCGTGTTTTTTTTCCAATTAATCGCTTTATCTGGCTTCCACTATTCTCCCAGTCTGCTTGCTTCAACTCAACTTCTTGCATAGAGTGAATTAAGTAAGTAGTGAGTGAGAAAGAGAGTCTGGTATCACTAGATATCTCCTATAAATCTGCAGTCAACTCATCTGTGTTGATGGGAACGTAAGAGGCCCAATCACTGCAATAATTGACTGTGTACTCAATAGCACAATCAAGCAAACGTTTCCCAACTGGAACAAATATAGCATTTTTAGATGGCAACCAGATGGCTGAACCAACCACTCCCTGTTAGCTCCAACAACACCCGAACTCATTTTCCTTATTTTATTCTCGAAGTGGAACTCATGGTTCATTTATTAGCTGAAATAGATAATAATGAACAACGGATATGGCATTGTAGTCAATCATGCGCCAAGTAAGATAGGACACAATCTAAAAGATTTCGATAATGTTTTATGCTAATGAATAATATCAAAACACATAGATTAGTTGAACACATATATATAATAGATGACGCCTTGTCTGTGAAAATTATGCTAATTCCCTGATTATGCACACCTAAAAGGAAGTGGAAACTGTGTCATTGAACACTTGCCAGTTTAAGTAAGTTCCTAATAACAGTAGTCAAGTGAACAGGTCGAGTAAGAGACTTGTAAAACCTTTTGGCAGCAAATTTGGTTATATTCGCATCAAGTCATCGAGTCCAATTCATTTCGTACTGAAAGCAATGGAAGCAACAGTTGTATTTTCACACTACTCTGCGAGTTTTTTTCAACTTAGTTTATATTAAATCAAACCAGGAGCGCGCAATAGACTTAACTCCACGTGGTGCACACTGGACAACATATACTCATTCAACAAATAAGTCTATAAACCACCAGTTAACTACTGACTTCAAACTACCATCATATTCGACGACTTCCAAAGCACTCACCTTACCTTTCTCTGCCTTTGTGTCTGTCTATCTCTTTACATCGTTGAATCTCTCTTCTCTCCCCCCCCCCCCCCCACTTTCGAATTTTCCTCACTTTGATGCTCCTCCTCTCTGTGAAGCCCGAAGTCAGCTAAAGTGCTAATGGCAACTATCAAAACGCCTGGCGTTTGAGATAAATAAATATTAAATCAAACCATCACTCTTAAGCTAAGAAAAAAAGTTGGACACCATTATCAAAATTTGCATATCTAGATGGGTTTGAAGAATGGCTAGCGGAGGTGTTGATAAAAGTATTGCGTACAGATAACAGGAAGTAGACTCCAGAACCTCAAGAAACTCATTAAAGTGAATCATTTACCAGACAAATCGGAACCATTTCTTTTTCCGATGTGGTTTTAGAGGAGGTTCTTTGAAATGTCCCACCCACCATAAAATACATGACAAGATAAGGAATGTGCTTATTCGTTCAATCACTTCTAGAAAAGATAAAATTTGAGCTGCATCGAGATTCAAGAGAATGAATTTCGGTAGGGCTGTTAGAGAGTATGACACAAAATCTCCCCCTATTTAAGTCAAGAAAGACAACATCCAATCGATGATTCAGAAATCCCTTGCTCGGGGAAAGTAATACAACGAAAATCGAATATTTGGGAATTTTACGCCAAACTGTACAGTTTTGTATACTCTTCGCTCTTAAGCTCAATAAACTAGTTATGATGTACCAAGAGCTTAAAAACAACAGATCCGCAATTGTAGTTACCTTGCTTATCGATTTAACTCTCTTTTTGCACTATTCCCCCTCTTTTCTTTGCACGAATCATCACTTGGCCTGTAAGCTGTCGGTCGATTTCTCCTCAATAATAACCTAACTCCCTCTTAGTGAGCTTTACTCTTCAACGAAAGTACATTGTCAGTTTGTCAGTTTGCCTCGGTACGAAATTCACCAAAGCAGTAATACTAATAGTCTTGAACTATAATTAGCACTACCATATCAACCATCACAGTTTGGTCCAGACAATCCAACTCATAAACAAAGAACAGAGTCTGCCCGTAAACTGGTAGGAAGACCACCAGAGAGAGACTTGAATTGCTCATTCCGAATAAAGCTTTAACTCAGAGGCCTTAGACAATATTTGGCAGCGTTGTCTCAATTGTAGCCCTCGTTAATAGAATTATTTGGATCTGGGGCCGGGGGGGGGGGGGGGGGANGGGGGGGTGGAGAAGGGGGGAAGGAGGGGGACGAGCTTTTCTCTGTGCAATTACTACCACTATGTTTGTACTTTTTTTTCTCAAAGTAGTTTGGAGGACATCTGTAAAACTATTCACGAAATGAGGGCATACAAAATCGATTCGTCGTTGCCATGGCTAAAATAAATCTACAACTGATCGTGATGGAAATATGATTCTTGTTGGGGTTTAACATACGCGAATTCATTTTCATTTTTCTTACCTTGATTGCAAATCAATCACTATCCTACTCCACTCTATGACAGCCGGTCTCCCTCTCTCTCTCATCAATTATTTTAGCAACCTTGTTTACAAAGGTAAATAAATGTGAATAGCAAAAGAATACAGCCCTTTAAAACCCACCTTTCTTTCGAAGGTTTCAATAGGCTGAACAGCAGGCAAAGCCTCTATCGCATCGGACGCATCAATAGAGAGCTTGGAGATGAAGCGACCCTCATAACCACCAGCCTCCTGAAGGTAGTGACTAAGACGCTGTTGAAAGTGGGTAGTATCCACCTCCTGCAAGCAGAGAATATCCCCTTGGTAGGCAAGAAGTTCTCGATAAATTAGGGGATAGCGGTAGTTGTGGTCCAAGTAGGGGGCTGGACAATGACGGAAGTACACTTTGCGAGCGCTCTCTGTTCGACTGTACATAATGGCCAGAATGTTGTAGCAAACCAAACGGAACTCATTGGATGATTTGCTGCGTTGGGTTACCTCTGCTATCCTGAAGCATAATAATAATAATAATGGGATGGGCTACACAATCACGCATTAAAGTAATTCTAAACCTGATGATAGTACTTAATAGTGCCTTTTCAATATATCTGTAACTGGGGTGTGCGATAGACTTACCTCCACGTGGTACACCCTGGCAACGTATACTCATGCGGCAAAAAGTCTATTAACCGGTAGTTGACTTCTGACTTAAAACTACCATCACCCCCCACTGTATGTCATATTCGACTACTTCCACAGTACTCACCTCACCTTTTTCTACCTTTGTGTCTCTCTTTTACATCTTAGAAACATTCTTCTGTTCCCACTCCCTCTCGAATTTTTTTCACTTTGATATTTCTTCCCCTCTGTGAAGTCTGAAGTTAACTAATGGGCTAATGATAGCCATCAAAACGCCTGCCATTTGATATAAATAAATATACCTGTAACTATCAGCAGAAGGAGTAGTTCTTTTAGATTTTTTTCAAAGCTCATGCCCCCATATCTCCATCCTCACATCTGAAATATCCATAGTCGAACGTCAACTTATATACATCAAAACAAAATCAGCTCGTTTCAGAGTTTCTAATTTCTCCAGGGCCATCACAACCTGGGTTCCTCATTCACTCAACACACAGCTGCTTTTTCCCCTCATTTTTGTGCCAAACTTATTAGCCTAACACATAAAATAACAAGGTAGGTTGGCTTCACTACGAAATCAGGCAAGACAGCAACCCTGTAATTTAGCCCAATTTTAACAAGTGTGGACATTTTATGAAAAGGTAACTAAAAAAGTTACTTCACATAGGTTTTCTTGGACTTGAAATTAACCATTTCAATCCCTCGTCGTGGCCATGCCCATTGCACCCCCCCCCCCCCCCCCCCTCCCTCCTTCCCTTATGTCTGGAAATTATCCATATGATTCATAGTCACCTGATTCTGGAAAGACTGCTATTTACTTCTAGCCTCCAGGAAAATGAGTAGTAGTTCTGAGCCTACCTCGATCAGATTCCTAGATTAGATACCTCAGTCGAGGAATCGTTTCCCCTTCTATAAGCATTCGCATATAATTGACTAGGTGGTTTTGCCTCTCCAGCGTGGAAAGTGCTTCCGACGTGATACATCGGACACGCCAAAACCATTAGAACTCTATTCCAAATCTCAAAATGCGATCAATTTCATCTTTAAAATATTCTGCCACTGGATTAAACCAATCGGTAGTGTTCCCATCGGTTCGTAGATGAGGCAATCTCGAAAAAACGTAGCATACTAAGTCGAATGACAATATTCTTAGATATATTAAAGAATGATTTGTTCCCCTAACTTATAAAGGATGCAAATAATATGTTGTTCAGATAAGCGAATACGTTACTATAACCGGAAGAAATCAGTTAGAGATTTCGGTATCCACGCCACTTGCTGTTTGCAAAGAGCCTTTAAGGAGACTTGTATTCGGAATCAAGGTCAATGTTGGGGGACACTATTTTAATGTATGAAAAGTCAACCACTCTCATCTTTCATAGAACCTAGACCCTCCGAAAATTGACCAGAGGAAGTGCACGAGAAGAAGTGGTCTGGTGAAGGTGGCAAAGATGTTTTCTTCTAGAATTCCCTTCATGACATAACAAAAAGCGCAAAAAACAATTAGCAGGAGCCTGGAGCGGATTAAAAGTAAATTGAAAGCGGTCCCCCCCTTCCAGATACAAATTTGTCGATTTTTTCCCTACATAAATCACAAGCAAGTTAATGGGAAATCTGAAATTCGCGCGCCGGGGTGCTGTTGCCTATGCGGGGTAAATGTGGAACACAACGATGACGCAAAGTGAAAGTGGGCGAACACTTAGTTAATTAAAGTAACAAACCTGCATGCAAATGTCCCTTCAAAATGGTCCTAATACAATTAGGTTACAATAATCAAAGCGTTTATCCCCCCCCTCTACCTCACCTAAACCGAAACTACGTGACGTTGAAATTACGTCGATAGCAGCTGTTGCGTACTTGAGAAAAGCATTTGATCAATAAGGAAATTTGTCAACCAATCAATATACTGAGGAGGATCGTCTGTAGTGACATTAAAAGATTGAAATGTATTGAAAGTGATACCTTTAAAGCAGCATTCACGTGAATATTCACTGAAATTTGTATTACTTTCAAATTTGGATGGCTGTAAGGAGAATTGTAGTGAGGTCTTATTGACATTCACCCATTTACTTCAACCTGTTTGGGTGTGGCTGGTTAGGTGATGATGATGATGATGAATCATTACATCAGTACATGCTCAGATTGATGCAAAGACTTGCCTAGAGTTGTCAAGCAACTCTGTCAATGTCATAGGTTCTTTAAAGGTGACGCAGTTGGTTAGATAAACTCCAGACGAATATGATTCGAATTTCTACTAAAGCTTCATGTGAAGTATACTCATCTTAAGGTTCTTTGAAAATAAGCACGCATTAAGTTAGTTTCAATGCAAGCACTGAACAAGGTAATCATTTTTAACTACTTCGGTACGAATAATCAACATTGAAAGCAGATTGAAATAGTCCCCGAATGTCAACAAACCCTAAGGGTGTGCGATAGACTTACCTCCATGTGGTGCACCCTGGGCAACGTATACTCATACGGCAAAAAGTCTATTATTCGACAGTTGACTTCTGACTTCAAACTGCTAGCACCCCACTGTGTGTCATATTCGATTACTTCCATAGTACTCACCTCACCTCTTCACTCTACCTTCGTGTCTGTCTGTTAAACATCTTTGAAATACTCTTCTGTCCCCCTCCCTCTTTCGACTTTTTTCACTTTGATGTTCCTTCCCCTCTGTGAAGCCTGAAGTCAACTAAAGGGCTAATGATGATAACAATTTTAAAAAGGCCATTCGATATAAATAAATAAATAAAACTTCAAATCTCTTAAACGGAGGGGGGGGGTGCAGGTAAGAGAGCATTACAAAGTGCGATTCATTATTTGAAATTGCCACTAATAGCCATAGGTCCATCAGTACAACAGAAACGATGACCTTCAATTGCTGAGAAAAAACCTGCACAGAGAACCTATCCAAATTTCACCCAAAACATGTACCACCAGATAAAAGTTCGACCTCTCACCTTCATTACCGTGTTAAGGGGTCGGAAACGATGTTGACTCTAAGATGAATAAACTAAGTCGTAAGACTTCAATCGGTTCATAATAGATGCATTTAAATTCGTTAAAGTCCCTTGCATGTCCATGAATTAAAATGATTTTCAGAAGAGGTGGCATAGGTAATTAGAAAAAAACGACTAAGCTATAAATATGGGATAGGCACTACCACCACTCAGTTCTCTAAACCTTTAGCGCCCAAATTGTCAAAAAAAAGGTACCCAAACGCACTCACACATGTCTCACGGCAGACTGATGGTATCAGGCGAAGGCTATAGACACGTATTGAACATGTTTCAAATGGCAAAAGTGGGCTTTCTGTTATCAGTCTAGTACCAATGGAGGTTATCTTGAAAGCGGACCCTGCGTCGATAAGGGCATTAATGGTATAAATATATATATTATTAAATGGCAGGCGTTTTGATAGTTATCATTAGCCCTTTAGTTGACTTCATGCTTCACTGAGGAGAAGGTACACCAAAGTGAAAAATAGTCGAGACGGGGGGAACAGAAGAGTGTTTCAAAGATTTAAAAGAGGCAGACAGACACAGAGGAAGAGAAAAAAAGGTACGGTTAGTACTGTGGAAGTAGTAGAATATGACATACAGTGGGGGTGATGGTAGTTTGATGTGAGAAGTCAACTGCCTGTTTATAGACTTTTTTGCGGTATGATTATATGTTGCCCATGGCGCACCACGTGGAGGTAAGTCTATCGCACACCCCCCCCCCCCGAAGAGTTAATATTGATACATTTGAACTTGTCCTAAAGAATATCGGAAACTTTAAAGGAATAATTCTGAGGAAACAGCAGAACTACTGTAAACTATTAGGACAGGACTATGTTCGTTCGAGAAAATTTTCCAAAAATCGTAAATGTGGAAACTGAAAATGGAGGTAGTTTCTCCTTCATACCATTTATGGACTAATTGAAACTGCGGCCTTGGGAATTTTACCATGATTCAGAACGTGGAATAACATTTTAATTATTTTGAAACATGTGAGCAGCTTTTACAAAATGAGCTTTCTGCTATCGAAGATTATGAAAATGCTCAACTCTTACAACCAATGGAACTTATTTTGAAAGAGGACTGTACGATCCCAAAGGGCGTTAATGGATTAAACTTGTAGAGTTTCAGACGCAAGCTCTCTCTCTTTTATTAAGAAAATGAACTTTAACTCCCATCGTTCCAAGCTGAACTTAGCGTCTTAAAATAACTGGAGGTAAAAATGAATAGAAAAAATACATCACCAAATATGTCTACACCAAGAGGCGTAGCGAAATCGTTGAAGTAGACTCGCCTCTCGAAGCTACTTCCACACACGGGCACTAACAAACAAACAGTTGGAACGTAAGTGTCAATCAAATGTTCAATCAGATAAAGGGTATGAATTGGACGCGTTGAAAGTAGAAAATTGTGAGAGAATTATTAGAAGGCAATTTTATCTCACCAAAGACACTTTTCATCAATGAAAACATCAATGTTCATTTATTTATATCAAATGGTAGGTTTTATGATAGTTATCATCAGCCATTTAGTTGACTTCTGATTTTGGAGGAGGCACATCAAAATCACAAAAAGTCGAGGGGGGACAGAGGAGTGATTCACAGATGTAAAAGAAACAGCCGGACAGACAGACAGACACAGAGGTAGAGAAAAAGGTAAGGCGAGTACTGTGAAAGTGGTGTGAATATGGCATGCATTCGGGTCATGGTAGTTTGAAATGAGAAGTCTACTGCCGGTTTATAGACTTTTTGCCGTATGAGTATACGTTGCCCAGGGTGCACCACGTGGAGGTAAATTTATCTCACACCCTATGAAAACTTCAATGTAGCCTTCGGCACTTCGCACATTAAATTACTGAACCGATAGCATTGTACTTTGTTACATTTAGAGATTTCGTATAAACAGTGTATCCTGTACTAACACGAAGGAATTTGATTTATGATGCTTACCGCCTCTTTAAACCGGGGCACATATAGGGAATTTAGTCCTCAATTATGGCAAAAAATTGAGACATTAGTGTCAACAAACTTTCAACACATAAATTGCAGATTTATTGTAACTTTAAAGATAGCAGTGTAATCGCCACCTAAACGCCTAAACTCGGTCGATTTGGGTGAAACCTCCATTCCGCAGTTGAAAGCGAGTTGGTTCGTGATTACAAAAAAATAGAACAAAGGCAAAGAATTTTCTGCTTTCAATAGCCAGCAACTTGTGCAATTTTGATCTACTACCTTCAAAATTAAATTCCACTTGGTTAAGGTGATAGCAAGAAATCCAACTGCATTTTGCGCAAACAGAACTAAAAACACAGAGATGTCTAAATTACGCCTTCCACTTTGCTCAGATGATGCAATATCCGTGAATCATTATTCCGTCCCCCCTCTCAACATTTTGCCACTTTGAAGTTCCTCCTCCTCCCTGTGAAGCCCGAAGTCAGCTAAAGGGCTAATGGTAACTATCAAAACGCCTACCATTTGAAATAAATTAATTAATATGCCAATAAACGGAAGTTAATGAATTATTATCCTATTTGGGCATTTAATAACCTGAAAAACCCGCTTCCCATGAAAATAATTGCCGTAGCGCTATCCATGCGTGTCACAACAACTGCTGTCAGGTATTTTCTAACAAAGCTTGAAACACCTCCTGCATACAAGAAAAATTAATTATTTAAATGTGATGAATCATCGAAACACTTGAGTTAAACTGAACCCGTTAAAATGACAACATATCATGGGAAGATACAATATGTGGTGATGTGTATCTGTCTCAAAAGAAGGCAAGGATTTAGTACTTGCTCGCAATTTAACGAATAGGCTAAATTCCTTACCTCCCCCCCCCCTCCTCCCCCTCCCCCTCC